CTGGAGCAGTTTCTCCCACCTCAGCAGCCCAGGTTCACAGTCCTTGCCAGAACTCAGTGGGGCTTTCCACAGTGCAGGGCTGCAGGGACACCCTGCTCTGGGACCAGCCCAGAGCCACAGCTGGGGCACTGGGACAGGAGTGGGATGGGGTTAGAGCACTGAGAGAGGGGTGGGATTGGGGTTAGAGTGCTGGGAGAGTGGGATGGGGTTAGGGTGCTGGGAGAGTGGGGTGGGATGGGGCACTGGGAGAGTGGGATGGGCTTAGGGTGATGGGAGAGTGGGGTGGGATTAGGGCACTGGGAGAGGAGTGGGGTGAGGAGGGGCACTGGGAGAGGAGTGGGATGGAGTTAGGGTGCTGGGAGAGTGGGATGAGATGGGGCACTGGAAGACTGAGCTGGGGGTTAGAGCACTGGGAGAGTGGGATGAGGTGGGTCCTGGGAAAGAGGGATGAGGTGTGGTGACACCAGCACAGAGCCATGGCTGCTGTGGAGCTTTGTTTGGAAAGCTGTTCCTCGTGTCCCTGCGCTGGCCCTTGCCCTCAGGCTGGTTTTATCTCAGGACAGCAGCTTTGTGCCCAGCTGCTTTGAGCTCAGCGTGTGTCCCAGGCACAGCCTGACCTTGCAGTGCTGCAGGGGCTGCACATGGCCCATGCTGGGATTTGTCCCTTCAGCTCTGGGAAGGGCAGCATTGCAAAGCTGCAGTCCCAGAGCCTCTGTGACTCTGGAGTGCTGCAGTCTGGCCACCTCCTCCCTCACCTGCAGCTGCAGTCAGGCAGGTTCTGCTCTCTCCACACACAGTCTGTGTCTCTGAGTGTGGTTAAGCAGCTCTGTGGAGCTCATTGGCTGTGATTTTAGCAGATCTGGGTGGGAATGACTCACTGTGTGTGTGTGTTCAGTGACCTGCTGTGCCAAATCCCATTTAAAGGTGGCCCTGGTGCTTCCTCTGCTGTGCCTGGCTGTGGGAAGGACTGGGGTCTGTGTCTCTGGGGTATCCAGGGCTGTTCCAGTCCAGCCATTAGAGAATTCCTACACATGCACTTCCAGCCCCTGGAATGACTTGAGCAGCTCCAAACTCTACTTGCTTTCAGGATCACATCCTTCCCAGGCTAGGATCTTGTTTTGAGTGGGAAACAAAAGCACAAAAGCTTTTCTGCTTTTTTTTTTTTTTTTTTTTGCAGGGAGTGATTGGCAGTAGGTAAAACAGCAGAGCATTGAGCATCCCATCCCACTCCCCACAGCAGCCAGGTCCTGGGTGCACATCCAGGATCAGAGCCCTGGCAGCATTTCAGTGCAGCTCTGCCCACTGCAGCTTTACCCACAGAGCCCTCAGAGCCACCCCCTGTCCTTTGTGGGGTGACAAAGGCTTGATGTGAAAAAGGGAAAGGAAAACCTTCAGCGTGTTCTGGCAGTATCTGCAATTACAGATTGCTCCTTCCTTTTTTATGGGCTTGGCTCAAATCCTGTCTGCTGGTTCCTCCTGCAAGGGGAGGGGAGGTTTGGGAACAGCTTCCTTTGTCCCTGAGCTCCCTCCTCAGCTGTGAAATCACCTCTCTTCTGAATGTGCTGTGCTTCCTCACTGATGTTTATCATGGGGGTGGTTTCTGTACACTCCATGCTTTGCAGCAAGAACTAAACACATTTTGCCTTCCCAGCATCATGGTGGGAGTGCCTGGGATCTCCCTCCTCTTGCACAATTTCCTCTTTATTGGTGCAGGAATTGTTTCACCTTTTTGTGGTGCTGGATTTGGAGCTCAGTGAGTTCTGTCCAAGACTCTGCTGTTGCAGAGTGGCTCTTCAGGAGACCAGGGTGGCACCTTCCCTCTTCAGTGCCATTCCAGCTCTCTCCTGCCAGATGTTTGATTTTCCATTTGGCTGGAGTAAGAGGCATGTCCTTAAACTTTTACTCTTTTATCTGCTGCACACTTAAAAGCTACATCATGCAGTAAAAAAACAAACAACCATCTGGATGTCATCTAGATGTGCCTCAGATCATAAAGATCTGAGACTGGCTGGGTGGGATCAAAAGGAAATCCCTCTGGTGCCAGGCCCTGCCCTGGCTGGCTCTGTCCCTAGCCAGGAGTGATCCCTCCATGCCAGCTGCACTCCCAGGCTGGACAAATCATTCCATGGCATTTTCCAGCCCATTGCAGGGGCAAAGAGCTGAGCTAAACTCTGGCTGCAGGCTGGGAATCCAGCTGGAACATTCCCTAAAGCTGGGGCTCCAAGGGCACAGGAGCTGCAGGATGCCTGAGGGTCCTACCTGGCCCAGACGAGCTTTTCCAGCTCATGAATAGAATCACAGAATCATTCAGGTTGGAAAAGACTTCAAGTCCTGACTAACAGGGAAATCTCCTTTTCACATCTCCTTCTCCTCTATATTTGACTCCAGAGTGACCAAGGCACCAGAGCCAGGTGAGGAGAAGGTGAAGGAAGGAGACTGGCTAAAGACTTCACTGATTTTATATTTTGAGGTTTTATTCTTTTTTTTCTAATAGAGGCTCAGGTACAAAATGGGAATCTTCCAAATCCATCAGCTTTTTGCCACACTTCCCAGCAGTGCTGTTACTGCCTAAGGATGTGTGTGTCCTGTTGGACACCAGCTCTGTGCTCCAGCTCCCAGCTCTGAGGGGCCTGAGGTTCCACAGGAGCAGCAGATGGGGTGTTTGCCATCTCACTGCTGGGGCAGAGGCCGGGCAGGGCACCAAGGGGAGGCATTCAGGGAAGTGGGGCAGGAAGCTCC